GTGATGTGGAGATTTGTGTGGTTGTGTGAACTGGATATGTTTTTTGGTTGTACGGTGTTCATGTTTGATGAGGATATGTTTGTGTTTGCGTGCTGTAGTTGTGTGATGTGGAAACACCCTCATGTGCTTCCTAAAACCACCCCTAGACCTTGCTTCCACCCCTGACAAAACCTAATCAAACGATCACAAACAAATATTCAAAGCTGAAAACATGGTGGTGGCTCCTGTGATAACCACACTAACACACAACATTCAAACTTGATCGCATGTCACGTGGGCAAACCCCGGCTGACCAACCTAGGTCACGTGAGCCAGCTGACCACATGCTCGCCACATGGAACCACACAAAATAAAAGTTTAAATTTATTTCGAACATTTTTTTAAACGGATAAAAATGTCATTGTTGCTTGAAGTCAGTGTTTAAACTTTTTGAAATAGTTCATCGATTTTCTGCTTTGCAGACATTCATTTTCATGAATAGATTTTTTTTTCTCTTCGAATAATGAAAGATGTTCATTAAAGTTGTTTGAAATATTTTAATTAAGTTAACAATCCAAAAACCAATCATGAATTATTTTTTTAAATACATGTGACAGTTCTCAAACTTGTGTTCGGTTAGGGTTTTTTTTTTCTTTTAACTAAACTAAAACACTAATTTAATAACACTTTCAGAGGGCCATTTTACTTATAATTACAACAGAGATTAACGCTAATGACTCACACACCATTGCAAAATGTCACGTAAAACCAGGCCAGATATTTTAGGACAAATCAATGCCAAAATATTTTCTTTAATAACAAAAACCAACTTGGCCGTATAAAAATTGTGTCTCGTTTCGGCCGTTTCATGTTCCTTTGTTCTTGGATTCTGTTTCCAAACATTTTTTTTTAAACATTTTATAATTTTCTACAAAACAAGAGATAATTCAAATAAATTCTTTAAAGTTTTAAATAACACTCGGACCTAACGATATTTATATTTAAATTTCTATATGATATTAATGTCAGATGTATTTTTCAGTGTTCAAAATAAGCTCGAGCTAAATGAAGCTATGTAATCATATATATTTTGAAAGCACATCCATTATATTATTATTAATCATCATAAACAGAAGAAGCCATAGAAGAAAACACGATTTTTTTTCAAAAACTCCTAGAAACAAAAAAAAAAAAAAAAAAAATAAGAAATTATTTTCTTACAATTTATTCCTATATTCAAACTTATACAGGGAAAAGTTGTTGATCAAATAGTTAAGTGAAAAGGTTGACAGTGAGACTTCTAAGCTGGGTATTCAGGTTTGATATGTTATAAAATCTGACTCGATACAAAAGTGACTTCTTATAAAAGTCATTTTTATGGTCTAGACATTTACTCATGCAAAGTTTCGCAAATGTGCACTTTTGCTATACCAGACCAGGGACCTTAGACCACTATAGAAGTCTCAGACCACTCTAGGGAGCCCACAACAGTCTAGGGACCCCAGACCCCTCTTGGGACCCAGCACCAGACTAGGGACCCCAGACCCTTCTAGGGACCCCAGACCCTTCTTCCCATGTTAGTGTCCATGAGCTACATGTCACACTTAGGTTGACGTAGGTCAAGGTCACATAATCGTATATTGAAAAAATAAAACTAGGCGACTGTCGGAAGTGTAAATACCGTGTTTGTGAGATATTTTTCTAGAGAATTCTCTCTTTAAAAAAGCCAGCCCATGGATAAAACTAATATGTGGGTCTACTTAAGTTCTGTTGCGTAGATTGGGGGAGAGGGGGTCGGCTAATCTAGTTGTGTGCTTGGTTTGTTCACTGATAGATTGTTTAGCGTCTTACGGCTGTCAGATGAGAGGATGTATGACTTATGACTTATGACTTAGTACTTGAGAGTCTCAGTCTTAGTTAGAGATGGGGGCGGGGGCTGTTTTTTGTTTACATGCTATAAATAAAAAAATATCAAATTTTCGTTTTGTTTATAATTGATATGCGAACGATAATTATAATAACAAAATAAACAGTTTAAAATTGTTTTATTGTTTCGTTTTTGATTCTAGTTATAATACCAGGTTAAATTCGTTTTAATTCGAATATAACATCTGGTTTTTATAGCAGTTTAAATTGTATTTTAAATTGCAGATTTAATTCTAGTTTTGCTTCAGCTTTTTTTTTCTGAAGAACATATCTGAGTCCACTCAGCTCTAATCGGTACCTGAATCACGTTAGGGAAAGTAAAGGTGGCTTGCATAGTGCTGACCACACCATCCCCTTATATACCGTGGTCAGGAAACATGAACTCTACTTAATCCGGATCTTTGGGTCCGAAATTGGATTTTATATTCAAATTTTAATTCTAGTTCAAATCTAGTTTTAATTAAAATGTTAATTATATTGTAAATATTTGTGCTAATTCTAGTTGTAATTCTAATTTGAAGTGTTAATTCTATAGTAAATGTTATTGTTAATTCCAGTTATAATTCTAGTTTCAAACAGAACAAAATGTTTGAGATCAACAAAATTAAAGAAACTTCTAAGAAAAAACATGACATTCGTGAGCGAATCTAGAGCTATTTCCCTGTGGGTGGGTGGGTGGGTGGGGATGGGGCAGACTTAATGGGATAAGCTATTCTAATAGAAACACAGAAATAATTGAACAATCTAATGTTTGCAAACACTTAAATAATTAAGAAGGTGTTTTTTAATTGTGTTGATTTTATTTTTTAAATAAGATTATCTCATTAGAAATCCCATGTGGTCTCGCCTAATACGTAGCTAGACCACTACGTCATACTTAACACACAAACATGCAAGATTGTTTGGTGTTTGTAGAACTAAACAAATATGCTTTCTTAAAGAGAAGAACCTGTACCACTAGGAGTTGTCTAACTTTCCTTGCCATAATGGAGACTTAATGCAATTATAATGTCAGTTATCTCGAGAAAGAAATGAATCACATTGTCCTTGACTTTTGGTCTGCTGGTTATGTTTTTTGTTGTTTCGGTTATTTTTTGTTGCTGTAGAGATAACGTCGGCTTACGGCAAATGGGAAAGGGCAATAAAGATTAGTGACATTAGTTGGTGGGAGGCGGGGTTGTGAAAACATAAGGGGGGGGGGAACAAGAGGACAATCGCATTTTGTTGAGTCAACAGTCCGTTAGTTAATTACTTGATTGGTTTCATATTTAACTGTTTATATCTTTTATTTAATTACTTGATTGGGTTCATAGCTAACTATTCATTCTGTTATTAAAATACTTGCTTGGATTAATATCAAACAATTTAGTTCCGTTGTTTAAATACTTGTTTGAAATAATATTTAATAGTTCTTCCCGTTTTTTTAATTACTTGATTGGATTCATATCTAACAATTCATCCCGTTAATTAATTTCTTGATTAGGTTAATATCTAACAATTCATCCCGTTAATTAATTTCTTGATTAGGTTCATGTCTAACAATTCATCCCGTTAATTAATTTCTTGATTAGGTTCATATCTAACAAGTTTTTTCTAACAACTCACGTGGTCTCAGTATGTCAACAGATGAGCAGCTATTTATAAATTTTGGCCTAGTTAGCTGAAGGCTAATTAATCAATTAAGATTGTAAGCCTTGAATGAAATAATTGTTTGTTTAATTTAAAACATCATTAATACCCTGCACATTAAAGCAACACATTTATTTAATGTTGTCTCATGTATTAAGTTATTTTTTAGAAGTATTTTTAACCGGGTTCCTGATTCCTAAAGGAATAAACAAAACAAAAATTATCAGTTCGATGATTGTAAAGTTGTCTTAGTGAGTCAGTTAACCAAAAGTGCAACTAGGAGCATTTTGTTGTTGTTAGCAATATTTTCAAGGACTGTTTTCTCTGAGCGTAACAAAACAATGTATTTGTGAATGGTGTAAGTCGTGATTCGATCTTCCATGTGATAAAAATCAATCCTTATAGCATTGTGTATTCCTTTAATACATTTCCTGATCAAAATACCAAATCGTAAAAGAAGACGTCTCTGTTTTATTTCGGGTGTTTCTATTAACCCCCTGTAACCTCCATCTAACGCAGCGATGACTAACCTAAATCTATTATAAGTCAGCATCGAACAAGAGAGACAACTGCAGCCAAATAAAATAACAATCAAAGTTACTCGCGACAGTAAACACAATGAAAGTTATCTCATGTGCAAGTAACATTTGTTTACCAGTCTAGCAACTTTTTTAAAATTTACAACTTTCTTTTTGAATATTTTTATAAATGTAAAAATACGACTTTTCGATTATTCATTGGGGTGGTAGAGTGTATGCTTGCTAACTTTAAAATCCCGAGTGCGATATGGGTCGTTAGCTGGGGACAGCAACCCATCTAAGAGAGACAACTTTAAAGTCAAACAGAAGCTGTCTTAAGGCAAACCCAGAAGAAATATGTTAGAGGAAATCCCGTCCAAAATTTCATTTGAAACCGAATAAAAGATTATACAAAGATGGTGTAGAGTGATTCGAACTATTTTGTCTTCGATTCAAGTTTATACTGTAAAATTAAATTAAGGAGTTTAAAAATCTACGACATAGATTCCACTCCTCCCATTCTGTATAGTGGACAAAGACTTTAAAAAACAAGTTGAACTCAAGCTCTTAAATAGTCTTTACGTCTCTAAAATAGACGTTTCCGTAACAAGTGGTTTATGGTTAAAGTCATAACCAACGTGCATGACTGTTCCCTCCACATGTTAAAGTTTAACCTAACGTGTTCTACTGATGTTAAAATTTAACCTAAAATGTGCTACTGATGTTAAAATTAAATCTAACGTGTGCTACTGATGTTAAAGTTAAACCTAACGTATGCTACTGATGTTAAACTTAAAACCAACATGACTTACTGTTCCCTCCCCATGATAAAGCTAAACCTAACATGTGCTACTGATGTTAAACCTAACGTGTGCTACTGATGTTAAACCTAACCTGTGCTACTAATGTTAAACTTACACCTAACGAATGCTACCACTAACTCCCCAGCTGATAGTGTTCAGTGCACTCCAGGGCCCCTTCAAGGAGGAGTTCTACCAGTGCGTGACGTTTGGCTCCTACGACAGCGCCTGGCAGCCCCAGATGTACGCCATTGTCTCCCTAATGCTCATGTTTGTACTGCCCCTGGCCGTCATAGGCACGGCTTACGGCCTTATCTTCACAACCATCTCACAGAAGTCAAAGGAACATTCTGGTAATTATGTTTTTTTTTTCATGCTTTTTTTTCCTGATTTTATTTTTCCTGATTTTTTCCCCCAGATAAATGAGGCATTAACTTCTTGTTTTTGAAAATGCATAAAAGTGCAAAAGCTGTTACAATCCTTATTTTAGAAGAAAAATTTCTAATGGCTTTATCCTCTTTCTTGTTGACTCTTTATCGTGGGCTCATTATTAAATTCCCATTTTCTAGGCGGGATACAAACGGAAGTATAAGGAATATCACGTGATTTTGATACAACCGGAAGTAGGAAGAAATTCGCGGGAATGCCGAAAAGAGGCATAAAATAAGATCGATTTTCGGCGTGATCGGGCGGAGAATGAATAGACAAAATTATCACGTTTCTAAATTTAGAACTGGGATTGGGATATCTTTTTTGGAAAGTAGTTCCAGGCGCTCGTTCATCTGAATGGCGTGTTTGGCGCCGCGTGAATGTAGCACTGGGCGAGCTGAACAAAAACAGAGAGGGGAAATCTTGTGAAACTATGACAAAATGTTTCTTTGTGAGAATCGAACGACGAATTTCAAGGATATGGGACGGCGTGGTCGGGGGGTAGAGCTTTACGACTGCTAGCCCGAAACTCTCAGGTTCGAATCCTGAGCTCGGGTCCGTAGGACATCCCTTAGTCCCCTCAGCTCTGATGGGTACCTGACATATTTTACAACACTTTCCATCACATGCAAAGGTCATTGAAACAGATTCGCTCTACTTCATCTGCCCCATGTGTCTTGTTCGCGATCGGGAAATGATGATGATTTCCAGAATAGTAGTAAATAAACCGGGAGTGATCTCCCCTAAACTTTCTCGAATATTCTTATATAAAACAACAGGGGATGGGAACTCGGGCTATAGGCATGATTTTTAATCCATTTTAAATACTTAAAGTTTTAAAAATAGAATAAAATATCGTAGACAACAAAATTGCACACCAAGTGAACGCCAAATAAAAAAGTGCATAATAGTGCGCAATATTATTAGTACTTTAAAAATTTACATTAGTTTTTTGAGAAATCGGAAGTAGCGTAAATTACTACTTCCGGTCAACGGAAATTGCTCAAAATTTAACAGAAGGTAGAAAATTAGATCTTTTACTCACATGTGAAATTTCATTTATCTATCTAAAATAGTACTCAAGTTATAGGCTTTTGAAAAATTCAAAGTAGAAAAAGTACCACTTCCGGTTATCCGAAATCGCTCAAAAGTTGATACGGATCTACGATTTTGATAAAATACTTATATATGAAATTTCATCAACCTAGCTGTAACGGTACTCAGGGAATCCTGTTTACACACAGACAGACACACACACAGACATACGGACAGAATTGCAAAGCCAAGTTTTTCAGAATGGATTACGCATAAAACCTCTTAATTTTGATAAATCTGGATTGATAATTTTTGCCCGATTAAAATAAGTCCTCTATACTTCGGATGTGATGAAGGACTGAGGTGTAATACGGTGAAAATTGTTAAAATTTCAAGAGATTTTTTTGCACGATTACAATACTTTCTCTATACTTCGTATATACGAGAAAGTAAAAAAACAATATGCGGTTATTAAAACATTATTGGGACGGCGTGGCCTAGTGATAGAGAGCTAGAATGCTAACCCAAAAGTCTCGAGTTTGAATCCGAGTTCAAGTCAGTAGAATGTCCCTGAGTCCACCCAGCTCTAACTTTAGGGAAAACAAATGCGGCTGGGCGTAGTGCTGACCACATTATCTCTTCACACGCCGAGGTCTCTGAAACAGATGAACTCTACTTCATCTGCCCCGTTTGTCTTGGGCACGAACGTGAAAGGATAATGAGATGAAAACATAATTAATACAGGTAAAGGCTGAAGGAGACATTTGTTTTTATTTTCTGACCATTTGAACTAGCTCGTCTTTTGATTTTTTTTTATTATAATAATTTTTACTAGTAGTTGAATCGTGTGAATAAAACTTACTAATCATTCAATAGGAAATAACTCAGTAATGGTTTCATACTTTCATACACGAAGCTATCCAGATCATTACACACTAACCCATTCATACCACCACACACTAACCCACACACACCTTCACATATGTATCCAACCATAGCATCACACTACCCCCCTCCAAACCGTCACGCATTTATCCAACAAACCCCCACCCCCTCCCCCAAACATCACACACTAACCCCCCACCCCCTCCCCCAACCATCACACACTAACCCCCCCCCACCCCCTCCCCCAACCATCACACACTAACCCCCCACCCAACCACCACACTCTAACCCCCCACTCAACCACCACTCACTTACCCCCCTCCCCCAACCATCACACACTAACCCCCCACCCAACCATCACACACTAACCCCCCACCCAACCACCACACTCTAACCCCCCACTCAACCACCACTCACTTACCTCCCTCCCCCAACCATCACACACTAACCCCCCACCCAACCATCACACACTAACCCCCACCCAACCACCACACTCTAACCCCCCACTCAACCACCACTCACTTACCCCCCTCCCCCAACCATCACACACTAACCCCCCACCCAACCATCACACACTAACCCCCCACCCAACCACCACACTCTAACCCCCCACCCAACCACCACACTCTAACCCCCCACTCAACCACCACTCACTTACCCCCCTCCCCCAACCATCACACACTAACCCCCCACCCAACCATCACACACTAACCCCCCACCCAACCACCACACTCTAACCCCCCACTCAACCACCACTCACTTACCCCCCTCCCCCAACCATCACACACTAACCCCCCACCCAACCATCACACACTAACCCCCCACCCAACCACCACACTTTAACCCCCCACCCAACCACCACACTCTAACCCCCCACTCAACCACCACTCACTTACCCCCCTCCCCCAACCATCACACACTAACCCCCCACCCAACCATCACACACTAACCCCCCACCCAACCACCACACTCTTACCCCCCACTCAACCACCACTCACTTACCCCCCTCCCCCAACCATCACACACTAACCCCCCACCCAACCATCACACACTAACCCCCCACCCAACCATCACACACTAACCCCCCACCCAACCATCACACACTAACCCCCCACCCAACCACCACACTCTAACCCCCCACCCAACCATCACACACTAACCCCCCACCCAACCATCACACACTAACCCCCCACCCAACCACCACACTCTAACCCCCCACTCAACCACCACTCACTTACCCCCCCTCCCCCAACCATCACACACTAACCCCCCACCCAACCATCACACACTAACCCCCCACCCAACCACCACACTCTAACCCCCCCACTCAACCACCACTCACTTACCCCCCTCCCCCAACCATCACACACTAACCCCCCACCCAACCATCACACACTAACCCCCCACCCAACCACCACACTCTAACCCCCCACCCAACCACCACACTCTAACCCCCCACCCAACCACCACACTCTAACCCCCCACCCAACCATCACACACTAACCCCCCACCCAACCACCACACTCTAACCCCCCACTCAACCACCACTCACTTACCCCCTCACCCAACCACCACACACTAACCCCCCCCCCCCCCAACCACCACACTCTAACCCCCCACTCAACCACCACTCACTTACCCCCTCCCCCCAACCATCACACACTAACCCTACCTTACCCCCTAATAAATTCGTCTGATCCGACTAGCGCATACCATCGCCATCTAGCCAATGCCCAGCCAAACAGGAAATCTCATTTTGCCAGGGCAGCACTTCCGGTAACCAGATAACAGACCGGATATGGAATATGTATGGCACTCTTGCCACAATTTCTGCCACTGGACCCACCCACCAGACACAGACAACTTGCCCCACCCACCAGACACAGACAACTTGCAGGGACAGAAAATAAAATATTTATTTAGGATTCTTTTGTCTCGTCTTGGTGCCCAAGAACTTGTACTTTTGCACACGGCACCATTCTTACAAGTGTGTGCTGGGTTTTATGCCGAGTCAGGATGGATTGATTAGATTAGCATGCGAGGGCCTAGTTCAATGTACTATGGGTTTATTGGATTAATATAGCGCGATATAATGCGTGGGCCATTGTTACTTGGTGAGAAGTGGATTTTGTAATTCCGTCTCACCTTTTAAATCAAATATTGGCACTTCTTCACCTTTGTGATAACAAAAACTTTACTGCCAGAATGAAGTACATTCTTTACATTTTAAGGATACGATCCTGTACAACTTGCATGCCTTTTTTGGTACCACTCGGGTATCCATTGGTAAACCGCTACTTCCCCTAGCACCAGCCCCCCCCCCCCCCCCCCATTTATATCCATTTAATTTACAACTTCCCTTGTATAAATGGACCACACTATCCCTTCATGTGTCAAGGTCACAAATTCTACTTCGGAAGGCTCGAAAGGTGCTTTTTAAATAGTAAATAGTGCAATGTATTTATTTGTTGGTTGTTGTATATGCGTTGTAGGTATATCATTCATCATTTTAATGTTGGTAGATTATATTTGGATTTTAACTGTGAATGAGATTGGAGTCCTTACATTAAACATGTAAGCAGCTTTCTGTTGGGGTTTAGTTTTTATGTCCGGCTGTTTGTTTTTCTTTAAAAGTACTTTCACTTTCTTAGAAAAATGCCCGACGTCCTTGCTGCTGATAAACCAAACATTTGACGCTAGGAAGAAAACAATATAAAGGTCACCACACGATTTGATAGACAGCCGATCTAAAACCTAAACAAAATTCGTGACTTCTAACCTAGGATCGTTTACATTGTCAATGATTTCATCAGGCCACACTATACTCGCGAGGGGTATCACACAGTACATTCAAGTTTTTATCGATGTTTTTTTTATAAAACATAATTGAGAATTTACCAAAATAAAATTTCACAAATACTTTTTGTATAATATCTGAAGTACATTTTAGTAATGTTTTTAAATTTAGTGTTTGTTGTATAAAATGCGGATGTTATTACTTATT